TGACTAAATCTTGATGTTTAAAGGTTGATTTTTAGATTTTTATAGTGTAGCGAATTAATGATAGAAATTATGTTAGAAGTGAAATTTGATGTATTTTTATAGTTAGCTTGTTAGTTTTATAGTGTTTTGTAGGGAATCGTAGGGTAAATTGTGTCTGAACTTTGAATGATTTTTGTTTTCTTACATGGTGCAAAGTAGGTTTCTAAAACGGATCTTGAGAGCGATAGGTTAGCAATTGTTTAGTTTTAAATACCTCTGACGGCTCTAAGAAGCCTATAAATGATGGTGCAACTAGAAAATTTAGAGGGAGAGTAGAAGAAGATTTTATTTGAAAAACTTGTTGAATTTAAAAGGCCTTCGGGATCGAATTATCGCAAGTTAAAACTTTCTTCTTTTTGAAAGGTTGTTTGGTCGTTGACAGTTTTTAAGTCTGTGACTTATTTTATTAATAGTTAAAGCTAAGTATTTGTAATGTTGTTCGGTTTATACTTCTCTCCATTTTTTTTAAAGTTTGTTAAAGTTTTGTAACTTGATCTCTACACTTTCCTTTCATTACAATTGCAGACAATCTGGAATTAATATTAAACTCAAAGGAAGTTGTGTCTAGTCAATAGCGAGACTATATTGCCGTTATAACACGATACTGCAATTTGTACATACTGGCACAGTAGAACTTTTTATTGGATTATAGTATTCAGGTATTTGAAAGATAACATAGAACACTAGTTATGCCCAATAAATTAATTATAGACTTCAGTAGTACGATGAACGACACACTTGTCCCAATCCTTAATCACGTAATATCTAAGAATATCAATCACTTTCTATCTGGAAGTTGGATTGCTATCTTACTGTATTACACAATGGAATACAAGATAATTACGATTATTTTCAATAAATTAATTTAAAAAACTAAGTTACAGATCTTAATAAAACAGTGAATCGAATAATGAGTATCGTCTATCGAATCCTTTGAAACCTCCTTAAAGATTTTAGATATCAGTTACATTCGCGTACGCTATAAATTGAAGTCAAAAATTATCAGCATATCAGTTTGACTATGAGCATCATGGCCACGTTAATCCGTTTCAACTATGATATTCTTCGAAATACTTATCAAGAATAACGACCTTACGTAATTCTGAAAGAAGATGAACTTTTAAATAATTGCTATGAGAGTCTCATGAACTAAAGGACTTTTCTTTGATCACGAATTTATTAATAAAAAGACCACGAACAAAAGCATAGATAGAATGAACTCCCAATCCGAAGAAACAAGCAACATCCAGATTTAACATGACTACCTTTAGGAACCGTTACTTTAATTACCTGGGTTTTGTAAATGTAATGTAACTTAGTATTGTGCTTGTAGACTGTTAGCCATGTTTAGTATAATGTACGGTAGATACTTATCCTAAGAGATACTTGGTAGCCATAACTATAGACTGTAGTGGTATAGACTCTATGCTGGAGTACATATGACCATATACAGTAAGGTGTTGAGCTACCAAGAAGGCTATAGGTAAAAATAAAACTAAAAATTATATATTAGGATATGGTTAATTCATTGTACTTTGGTTGGTGTGAATAATGTCTACGTAAATACTGTAATCGTATCCATATCAGATTAATGATGGTCTGCAGTAGAAAAGTGCTACTAAGAATAATTTTACTATCTGTAAAATAAGGTAAAAGGTTGACGTGCGGATTGTAGCTGCGAATGCTACGAAAAGTATAAAAGCATGCAACTTTAGATTATTCTGTTAGTTCGTTGTAGAAGTCTTTAATAGTAGCATTCGGCTAGAGTAGAGCTGTGTGTAGTTAATCTTTATATAAGATTCAATAAAGCCCTCATTTTTCTAAAATTTGGAATTTCGTGATCGGTATATATCACAGTAGAATTACCAGTCATTATCCATTTTAAGCGAGCTTAATAATAATTTTCTCAATTAGTAGAATAAATTATGAAGATAAGCTACTATATATCATAGCTAATATAAAGTTAAATCAATTTTTTCTCCAAAGTAAAAAAAAAAATTGGAATGGCTTCGACAACGATATAACGATTTTTAATGTTTAACGATAGCTCATCTTAGGAGAATGTATTAGCAACTAGTGGTCAAATATTATTCGGATGATTATGAATCTATGAAGATGTTTAGACGACGATCATAATTAAGAATTTCTATCTACGAAGAGGATAAAGTACACTAGATAAAAATCATTTCAAGATATACTATAGATTCGTATATGCAGTACAATACATATTCTCAATAATTTTTAATCAATCCAAAGGGCAAGGTTAAGAACTTAAACCATGTAATTGCAAAAAATTCTTACCGCTTTAATTATTCTTAGATCAAACAATACTTTTTCTCTAGCCTCTAAGCTTAGGATCAATTTAAATTCGCGTTTGCAGTGTACTTAAATTCTAGTGCAAAGATCATTGAATTTATTTATCTTTCGAATTAATAGCATTCATATAAGTATCAAATTGGCAAATAAGAAAGATAATTACGTGACTTATACTTTTCAATTATTATACTTCCGCGTTCGTTCTAAACATACTTTGAAGTTGAGAGTTACTTCATAAAAGGATACAAGAAAGGATGGTAACTGTATACTTCATTATTCACCTAATTGATCATGTCTCAATTGTTAGAATTATACAGTCAATCTATTATATGTTAGACATTCAATTAATTGATTCTTTTATAGTAGAGTTACTTAAACAACTGCATCTGACAAAAAAGAACTACGAGATGTTATAACTGCATTACGACTTAAAATAACTATCTTTCATTTACAACATAAAGTAAGCAGTATTTCATTTACCGAGATGAAATCTTTTTATTTATCACTGTTCTAAGGGGAAATTCAACATGATCAAGTAGTAAGAAAGAGCCATTTATTCCATTCAGAATCACAATGGACAACGCCTTTAAAGTTCCACAGTATCTATTTGTCACGACTATCTATATATCCTTCTAAAGACAAAGATATACCGGAAATACATATTGGTCTTCGTCTACCTAGAATCACTTATCAAGATTAATTCAAGGAAAAACTACCGACCTTTTCCTTAAGTTTATCGTCAGAAATGATATAAACCTCTTTACGCGTAAACTATGGAGAACGAACTTTCTTTATAGGGAAAATCGTTGCTATATTTTAAATTACGTTAGAGCACGCTTATAAAAAGAGGCAGTCATGCTTAAAATGAGATTTGACCTTTGAGCTCTCCTATAAGTAGGATATCTAACTAATTTACTTTTCCTCACTGGAAAGTGAATTAGTTTTACAATCTATAATCTAAGGGCAAGCCATCAACTATATAACCGTCAATACAACGCATTTACACTCAACGGTGGGCTGTAAACTCGTGGCACTATTTTATTCCTAAAACGGCTACTTATATAAGAAGAAACACTTAGCACACAAACGCAACTCATAACTGTATCTTAGAATGCTCATGTATTTTGGAAAGCTTTCACAATTACATGTTTTCATGCAACTTTCCTACAGTGAACAAATTTTGATTTAAACAATTTTCCTTCACTTCACTTCTACAGTTCAATCCTTAGGAGTCAAAGTAACACAAAGTTTAATAACATACTAATCATTTATACATTAAATAATTTGTGATTTCACACAACAACATTACTAATGAAAGCAGTATTGTCATATGCAATCCGTTTTATTTTACAATTAGTTGTTTACATGAAATTTGTTAAAAATAAAGTAGTAAATAAATAAACTGGATGATTATATGTATTCCATTATTCAAAGGTAATCAATAATGCTAAAGTTATAACGCCTTAAAATTAACTATTGCGGGGGTATACCAATTTAATCTGTTAATCTAGCAAAATATCATCCAGACATGCCATTCACTTTAATTTCAAATAACCTTTTACAAAAACAAAGAATGGCATAGCTGTGATTTCAGTTTCCTTACCAGGAAAATATAAGGGAAAATTTGAACAAAAATTGAAAATTGACAGGAGTAGGTATTATTAGTGTTTTTACTACAACGCCTGACTCAAGGAATATGTTAGCTACTCTGATTATTGATCTGATTCAGGAAGGCAATAGTTATTTATTTGAGATCTGAATTAACTAATTTAATATTTTATTTATAGCTCACAAAGTTAAAGAAAGATTCAATAATAAGTGCTATTAATATAGCATATTACTATGATTTGAAATAAAATTATAACAGTAGTCAATCTTGTCAATTACTGAAATATTACAAATTTCTTTATTGCACTAGATTGTACGTCAAGCATCCTTAGAAAATTTACACAGCAAATGAAATATTTAATTAGAGCGCAACTCAATGATGCTCTTATTAAGAAAAGAAAGCTTAGCTACTGAATAATAAATATTTAAACATAGAGGAAATACACTAAATCTTAAGAACATGGTGATACTGCATACAAATTTTCACTTTAAAAAATCATCAATATATATCAGTCGCTTGCCAAAGGTGATACGTTGGCATAAATGTGTACAATTAATACAAAATTTCACCATAATATCAAAATTTAAACCAGATAAAATCGACAAATAATGAAAAAATAAAGGATAATGATAAAATCTGTCCTTAAGTTCATAAAGTACTACAAATATAGAATTTAAAAGGTTTTAAATTAGACTTTAATGATATAAATATTAATTTATTAATATAGTACAGTACTCCGTCATCTGAAGCAGACTAAGTATGCATTAAAAATCAATTGCAACATGGAAAGGATTTCTGATTAGAAATCATCTTTCATAATTAGCGATTGGCTTCAGCACCACTAAAACTATATACCTTAAAATTTAGCAATTATTTTATCTGATTATTGTTTCTAAATACTATAAATAACCATTTGTCGACTTCTACTAGTTTCATTGTCTATCTCTAGTTTCATCATCTTCAGCGGATAAAATTACTTATTTATTATTCTAAAAATCAGACAAAATTTATTGATTTACTGTTTAGACTATTATCTCTAACGATTTGAAGTGGAGTTTGTTTGAGTTGAAGGACCAATAGCTGTGGCTTTATTGCATTGGCATCCATTCAAGATTGCTTTGCGGTAAGAACGAGAACTAAATGTGTAGCATAATGGATTTATAATTGGAGGTAAAATAAAAAGGAAGTGAGCAACTTCATGAAATGCTATCCATCCGTAAGCAGATTTTGTTAACAGATACTGCAAAATCTCATCGGCATTACAGTTGGTCCAAGAAACGTAGATTAAATATCCCATAAATGGTGTTACAGTGATCGTAAAAGCAAAAGTGATAACGACGAATAGTTTAGTGTGATTAAGATCTCGTGCTTGATTCTCCTTATTATTATTTAGTAAGTTCTTGGTGCCTGTCGCATGCTTACGAAGAAATAGAATGATGTTAAAGTAGCAAAATATCATGATAACGGCCGGTAAAACACAAAATAAACTTAAAACTATAGCCATTAGGACAATATTATACGTGCAATGCTTATAAGAGTGTGCAAACAGACAACGATTATTCACTCTAGGTGTTAGCTCGAAAGTTTCGATGAAAGGAAAGGCAAAACCAATAGAAACCACCCAAAAGCAGGCTATTAATAAGCGTATTTTACCCAGACTCACTTGCTTCGATCTTATAGAGACCATATTATTGACGACAAATGTTCGATAGCGATCTATTGCAATGATTGTTAAATTTAAAGTTGAAACAAAATTAGTCATAAAAAATATAATATAGCTAGACTTGCATATTCCATTGAGTTCTTGCCCAAATAAGCTAAGATTGACTTCTTGATTCATTCTAGTGCTACTGCTGAAATTAATTATATAGAAGGTTTTAGTACCAAGTAATATAACGGCTAGAGCTGAGCATAAATCCGCCACTGCCAGATTAATCATCAAGTGTCGAAGAATACGCGATCTTAAAATTTTCTTATTGACAAGAATATATACCACTAAGCCATTCAATAAAGTTCCAATAACGCCGATACATATATAGATACTAGAGATAACATCTTGACCAGCTACAATGGCTGTTAGATCAATTTGACTGGAGTTAAGGCTATCATTTCCATAATAAACACATTGAGCATTACAAGTAGGACTGTTCGCCATGGTCATCTAGGCAGTCATCAGGGTCGCACTATAAGCAAAAAGGTAACCATCAATGGCAATTAACAACTAGCATCATCATACTAATAACGATGCTTAGCGGCAATCATAGCAAATTAAATGGTACTTTTGTATTGCAAAAATCTTAGAAACACTCGTTTAAATTGCAATAAACGAAAAAAATTTAATTTCTGAAGTACCAATTGTAGACATACTGCGAAACAAAACATTGGCTCGAAATGATAGTTTATTAATGAGCTTGTCAACATTATACATGTAGCTTTACTCAATATTCTGCGCAGATCAAAACTAAATTCTTGTGTCCTTCCGTGCGAAGCAATTAAATATGATCGGTTTATTACTATGATATTTGTCTTTATTGGGTAATGATCACCATTCTGTGAAATAACATGAAGGAGTTTCATTGCGGAATCAGATAATAACTTTATGTCTGTCTTTATTACTTTTTCAATAATACTTGCGATGAAATCCGATCACGAATATTCCAAATTTGTAGAAAATTAAAGCTTTATTAGATCCAATACAAGGACTAGCTACACACAGCTATACTTTAGTCGAATATAGCTACAGAAAGACTTCTAGAATGAGCAATCAGATAATCTAATATATACTGCTTTTATTCTCTGTATGGCCTGCGCAGCTACAATCAGCATAGAAGCATTCTACCATATTTTACACCTATTCAGCATATTATTAGTCTCAGCATTTTACAGCGAATCATCATTGATCCAATATAGAAATGCTTACAGTATTTTCATTGGCATTATTCCTACCACTCAAAATAAAATGAACTAAGCATATCCTAATATATCATTTACAATTCTATTTCTACCTCTAACCTTATTAGTAGCTCAACACCTTACTGTATATAGTCATCTGCATACTAGCACAGGGTGTATCCTTCCAGTCTATAATTATAGACTACTAAATATATCATAAAATAAATATAGAAAAGACACTGCCATACATTTAACTAAACATGGCTAATAGTCTACAATCACAACACTAAGTTACTTTACAGTACTATTACATAATCAAGTGGATTTATGCTAAGTTTAACCTCGTTGGAAACGTTTAATATAAGTCTACCCAAGATGAAACGCCGCTGTGTAGAAATTCAACTTTCAATTAGAGCAGTAACCACTTTGCTAATTCGATACTCAAACCTGCTCGGTTCTACCCGCATAAAAGTCTCCTTCCTTATCCATCTACTAATTGCTTCATGAAGAGGATAATACTTTTAAACCATCAAAAACCACAGTCAATACATTACTCGCTCCTAGACTTTGCTCTACTACGACAATTCCAGATTCAAAACGTCATGCAAGTAGCCGTGATTGATAACAACGGACTAAGTTACTATATCAACATCAAATGGCATTGATATGTTAATAATAATTGATTGTTTTCGTAGACAATACATTAAGGCAATTAAAACACGTTATGCTTAACTCTACATTTCCGGCTGATGGAAAAAATCTAAATCCTTGATGAAGATACTGCAAACACTTCTAGCCGGTCATGGTATAAAAATTGCCTTAAAATGAATCTCGAAGTGTATAACGAGGGTAGGTACAGTTTTAATTAATAAGAACGATTTAGCAGCTGCTGTATACTCTATTAATGATACTAGTAAAATAGTCGTTTGCCATATTCAGTCTTCATAGTTCAAACTATTGCAATATTAAACTTCCAATTGAAGGATTTTAGAAGCATAACTATTTAAGACTATGCATCATTCATATTGAGAAATCCTTCCCAACTATAGCATCCAAAACTAAAATAGTTCTCAAAATAATGCCATTATCGCATTATAAAAGCTAAAGATTAAGTACTGCAGTTATGATGATAGCTATCATAATGCATTTTAAACAAAGAATAGAGTTTTATAAAACGGCTTTCCTTCATTTGATAATATCATTGCTTATAGTTTGATATCCTTTCCCTCTCATAGAATCGAAAACTAGCACGAGTATACGGTAATTCCCAAATTTCACATTACTACTACTTGATAACGCTAGGGGATATAATTGCAGCGGTTTTCAATATGACCATCATAACGGATATTATTGAAGAATTGATTAGAAAATAAAAATGACTATATGAGTATTTCACTTTAACATAACAACTCCATATCAATCATACTTATTACAAGATATGGTAGGAAATATCTTTGGACAAAGAAAATGTTAGTAACTGTATTAAATTTTTGGGCGTAGCAAGTTTTTAATATTGTAACAAATACGATTTAAAAAGTCTTCAGTATGAGCACTAGATTTTAGGCATAGATTTCGTAGTCGCTGTAAAAGATGTATAGATAGCCTTTATAGTTACTGATGGACCATTATGAAGAAATTGCATCCAGCATAGATTGTTACTACTAGTAGCTCGACTCAATATGGGATACACTTTGAAATTCTTTATTCTCTCATTCTTTCTTGGCTATTAATTACTCACCCATGCCGTTTGAGAAATAGGTTTTATTGCTCAATTGTTTATATTTGAAGAAGAAACGAAATCACTGCATATAATGTAATCTAAAGCGAAAAGTGTACAGTGAAGCATTTAAGGCTAAAGAAATCGATTTTTCTAATAGGAATGAACACTGAAGAGATAATAAAACAGTAAAGCGCTAGTTTCAACGGTCGTAATAGCCGGGTAAAAATAAAATTACAAAACAGGAACCAGATTAGATAGCTTTGGATATCAAAAAGGTTTTAAAGTTTAGCACAAGCATTCAAGTTATCATCTTTATCCTCCATTAGTCTAGTACACATAAATCCAATATCAAACAAGTAGCAAAAATTGTTTGATGATGCAAATGAACTTAAACAAGATTGATAAAAACTTTCTTTAACTTCAAATTTAAACTGGAACTTTGGGCTAGTGGGCAATAACTAGCCACTAGAGCAATATCTTTGCACTTATAACACTTAAATCGTTGATTTAAACTAGTTCTTTCAGTATAACTGAGAACACTCTTACTAAACAATCAGTTATGTTCGTATTTATATGACATATATTATACCGTCGCGGAACTCAATTCATGGAATAGATAAATCTGCCAAGTCTATATTTGCTAAGGTAAACAATCATCGATAGAGGGTGTAGGAACACTTGATGATTGCATCTTACTCAAACACTAAAGCTATCATTTAAAATTAAATCCAGTTTAGGCACTAATTAATCAACTTTTTTGCACACTTGATCGTCACTCGAATTTTGATTATCGTTATTTGAATAAAGAGTAAAGAATTCAAATACTACCATAAAATTCGTACTTTATCGAATAAAAATTTCAATAGCACGATTAAACAAAAATTTTTCCAGCACTATGTACAGAATTTCGAGTGATTAAGGTAACATATAATAAATCTTTACATAGAATGAAATTAGGCTATCAAAACTTACTGTACGTCCAAAATGTTTAATTTTGATGGAGTTTTAACATCTGCAAGTTTTCTGATGGAATGCTAAATCAGCCAATATGAAGCTGTCAATGCCAACTAGTTATTATATTAATCCAAATGATAATCGGTCTGTTATCAACAGTAAATCAATATACTTTCGACTAAGGAAAATAAACAATCATCTAACGATCGATGATCAATAAATCCTTTATAAATGAACAATTGCACACTTAATTAGTCTATATAATACTACCGTCGCGGAATGATTATGCTTATGTTGCTAAGCAAATTGACAATTACAGTCTACTATTAGTTGCAATGATATATGAAAAAGCTTCGATAGGCCTACATGAACTCGATGTTTACTAAATTGCATACTAGTGGATTAGGAACAATAGATGACTGTTAAAATGTTTCTGATCTTATAAGAATACGTAAGTTATCCTTAATTTCCATACAAACTGTTGCCGAACAGAATTAGCTGCCCAATTGGGATAATGTATCATGTTTTCAAAAAGTAAGTTGGAATGGGAGATGAATTGCAATATTTCTATAAATCTTTAGGCCGATCCAGTGGTGTTACTAGGAAGAAATTCAATTACTTGCTAAGGGTAGACGATAATTTATTGCAAGATATATTATTACCTTAAATTCAGATTTGCAGACATGAAACCGTAATATTTTTATGTATCTTTAGGTTGATCCGCAAATAGAAAGAAATTGAATTACTCGCTCTGGACTAACGATGATTTATGACAAGGCGGACTATCACCTAATAATTTTCCACTGTTAAAACTATAATAAGAAGTTTACTAAAGTTATAGCTAACACATAAGGTCTTATCTATAACTAAGGATCGTTTAGAAAAGGGCAGATAGGTATCGTAAATCGTCTTATCTATCATGCAAACTAAATTTTCATTGTAACGGGATAACCCAAAAGATCAAGATCAGAGTAAAACATGGAATAGATAGATATTTGAGATAGTGAAACGTTTGTAATCAAATATATTTTGGGCGAAGATGATTAAAAGGCTAGCTTCATCTGAGTCTTATACTCAAGTAAATCACTATATCTGTCAATAAATTCTAAGCTCGAATTCTGTATTTCTACACGAAGGTAACTACAGCTGCTAATATGATAATAATGCATTACCGTACAATTTTATAATTAAGGTGAAACTACGTGAAGTAGATTTGAAATGTAACGGACGATAAGAGTAATGACGATTCAAAATTTAAAGATCATAATTACTTTAGTCCATTAGTCCATTAGTATATTTGTATATTTGTGTATTAATGTTGCTAGACTCCACTATTTTATAATTTAGAGAAATGGCATAAAATCAATTTTAATTAAGTAGGATGAAAAATAGAGGTATGATACGTAATTTAAAAGCTTATTAGTAAAGTTCATAACTTTTGCATCCGAAGTTCTAGACGTAAATAACAAGTTAGAGATACGTCGTTCTTTTCGCATTTTCTCAAAGAGTTGACAATTAACAAATTAAAATGGCTTTATGAATATATTCTACAAATTTTAGATTCTTGTAATTATCTCAACCTAATACTT